CACAGGCTCATGAATGTACAGAGAACACATGTCCCTTAAATGTGAAAACCTACCCGCATGCATTGGTTAAGAGGAAGTGGCTTTGGGTAGAGGAAACTTTCCATTTTATAGTCCGCTTCTTCCTCCGTTTGCCTGGCGCAGTTAATTATTTGACTCCCCATCGTTCCTCTTGCCACGTTAGCTGTGGGAGTTTTACATCGCGGAAAGCAGTGAACAGGAGGCCCCGGGTGAGTGCATTTAAAGACGAAAACTGCTCTTCCCTGCACGTAGCTCCCTTCAGGCGAATAGCCTGGTAATCAACAATAATGATGAAGAAAATGGAGGGAACATACAGGGAATTAAATGGGGGTTTGCTAAAATAGTAGGCATTTTTTAATGGGCCTCTGCAGTAACAGGGGAGCACTTCACGGTGCACGGAGCGAACACCCCGCAGCCTGAAGTTCCCAGAATAGGCTGGTGGGTCTGACCTGAGGGCCCAGACAACCCCTGCCCCCCTCCACACACACACCACCACCTCTGTACATCTCTCAGCCAGGTCTTTCCAGAAGATCTAACCGCTAGGAGTCCGGCTGCCTTGGTTGAAAGGGGCTGCAGTTCTACCAGAAAACTTGCTAGATTCCTCAAATTGCCAACACCAACTCCCCAATGCTTTTCTGTGAGTCAATCAGTAAGACAGGCATTCATCGCGACCCGCATCTAGAGGTTTGTTGCAGACTTCGCTTTTCACAGTGTTGTCCCTATACAGGTCCTTGAAAGAAATCTCTTCTTCCACCAGGAATGGCTAGGCATCACCTGAACAGCTGTTTCAAAATCTCATGGTCATGAGGAATCACATGAGGGATTGTGTTTCCCTCCTTGTGCTGGCCCCTAGGATGCTGAGGGCCAAATCTGGGCACTAGCTCATGTGTCATGGGTTTCGATACTTGTCTTACCTGATACTGTTTTCTTATTTTTTCATGTCTCCTGCCCTTCTCACTTTTAAAATTTTCTGCTCCTAATCCTTTTTGGAATAAGGGCATAAAGAAATCAAATAAATCTCTTAACAACCTCTTAATTTCTACTTTTGTAGAAATGAGATAACTTAGAGGCAGAGGTGAAGACTGAATTCTTTGAGGGTGTGTTCGCCTTTGTAGTGCCAGTGCTTGAACAGAACCGGACACATCATAACTGCCTAGAATAGGATCTGACACAAAATAGGTGTCCAGCTCAGGGCCTGGGACATAATATTCAGGTCCCCTTTATGCCAGCCCAGGGCCTGGGGCATAATATTCGGGTCCCTTTTATTTACTGTGGCGTGACCTTCAGCCTGTCACTTATTATAAAATTAATAAGGATTTCGTTAACCCTTGCAGTCAAAGAAAATAAAGAGTTGGGCTGTTCCATGAGTGTAGGCTTAGATATTTGATCATGCTGTAACAGTTTACTAGGGCTGCTGGAACAAAGTACTACAAACTGGGTAGCTTAAACAACAGAAATTTATTGTCTCACAGTTCCAGAGGCTAGAAGTCCAAGATCAAGGTATCAGAAGGGTTGGTTCCTTCTCGCGTCTGAGAGGGAAAATCTGTTCCATGCCTCTCTCCTAGCTTCTGCTGATTTGCGGGCAATCTTCGGCATTCCTTGGCCTGCAGAAGCATTGCCCTGATCTCTGCCTTCATTTTCACATGGTTTTCTCTCTGCCTGTGTGTCTGTGCCCACATTTCCCCTTTTTATATGGGCACCAGTCATATTGGCAATAGGGACCCACCCTCCTCCAGTATGACCGAATCTTAACGAATGACATCTGCAGTGACCCTATTTCCAAATAAGGTCACATTCTGAGGTACTGGGGGTTGAGACTTCACCCTATGAATTTGGCTGGGGGGTGGTACACAATTCAATCCATAACACGTGCATTTCAGGATCTAGTTGGTTACAGTTTCTGCAGGGAAAGACAAAGGCTTTTGTTCAGTTACACAGTGAAGTCAGAGCGCAAAGCCCACCATACTGCCTGGGTCTGCTCCAGGTCCCTGGGACCTCTCCCCCTGTTGTACGCGATTATCACACATGAGACTTCTCAGTGCCGGTCCCACCCTCTGCCTCTGAAGACCATGGTCTGTTCTGGGACCTGAGAGGCCTTGCTGACAGCCTTCTACTCCATGAGAGAATCTGGGCAACAGGTAAAGGCGAGCCCCTAACACCGGCCAGTCAATGACAAGCCACCCAAGTTAGCCAAGGACACCTGGTGGCCTATAGAATCTCCAAGTCAAGGACAGGGATTTCCAGGACAAGCTGGTGAGACTCCCCAGTGGAAACATCCTGACCTGCTACAAACCAGCAGACTCTCTAGTCCGACCCCACGGGGGAATCCACTACCTGGGTTCAGACCCCAGATCTGCTTCTTTCCAGCTTTTTTTTTTTTGCGGTACGCGGGCCTCTCACTGTTGTGGCCTCTCCCATTGCGAAGCACAGGCTCCGGACGCGCAGGCTCAGTGGCCATGGCTCACGGGCCCAGCCGCTCCGTGGCATGTGGGATCTTCCCGGACCGGGGCACGAACCTGTGTCCCCTGCATCGGCAGGCGGACGCCCAACCACTGCGCCACCAGGGAAGCCCCTTTCCAGCTTTATTGACCTCACCTTTCTGGGCCTGTTTCCTCATCTGCAGATGGAAATGATAACAACAGTGCCCACAAGGTCGAGCTGTTGTGAGGATAAATAAGTGAACTCACACACCCAGAAGTGAGGGACTCGCGGGAGGGCAGAACACAGAACTGTTGAGCTACAGGGCTAAGTTCTACCACAGATGTGAAACCACAACGTGGCCTCGTTCACTGAAAAAGCCTCTTATCCAGATGATTTGCTGCATCTCAGGAGCACCCTGGGTACGCTTGAGAAGTCTCACTGAGGTCCGATGGCAGAGAGGGACCTCTACAATTGCTGGGGTTCGGAACTTGAGGATGTTAGTTGGAGTTATTAGAGATGAGCGTCTTAATGAAAGTGGTAACATCTATTGCTTCCTAGAGTAGCACCCAGTCTGGGACACAGCAGTGCTTTTCCTCCTTCTCCCCTCCCCTCCCCTCCCGTACCCCCCTCCCTCCCTCCCTCCCTCCCTTCCTTCCTTCCTTTTTCAGAGCAGATCCTTTCTGTTAAACAAAAGTCTTAGATAGAAGACCAGTATCTAAATCAGACAAATATAATCTTTCAGGAGCACAAACTGTACTATGTGATGTCACATAACATTTTATTCAATGCAAGCGAAACTTTTCTGGATGAAAAGTTGTACTTGCCCAGGGCCTTTGCACACGCTGTTCCCTTCCCCCAGGCATCTGCATGGTTTACTCCATCACCTCCTTTATGTCTTTCCTCAAATGTCACCTTCTCAGCCAGGCCCTCGCTGACCATCAATTTAAAATGGCACCAATCCACACCCCACCCCTGTCTCTCACTCTCCCATGTCCCTGCTTTATGCTTCTCCCTGGAACTTAGCGTGTCACCTACACTTCACTCTGTTTCGTGTCTGTCTCCACCCCCTGGAATAGGAGCTTCACGAGGACAGGGATGAGCTGTTTGGTTTGCTGCTGTACCTCAGCACCTAGAGTAGCTCCTGACACACAGCGGGTATTCAGGACATTTTTGTTGAATGGTTAATAATGATGCAGCTGTTTAGGCAAACACACACATTTGAAATTGGGCGTGAATTAACGCAGTGAAGAGTCTGACTCCATTTTTGACGTGCGACCTTTGGCAGCGTTTGAGCTGCCTGCCCCCCTCCTCCCCATTCCCTCTGCCCCACATCTGGGCAAAAGCTGATAAGAAACCCAAGGTGCTCCTTGTTTTGGTGCTGGCGGGAAGTTGAGACCACACCCAAACAAGGGACCCCTCACCCCAGCCCCACTCCCAGAAACCCCCCCGCGGCCCCCCCCCCCCCGCTCCCTCAGCTGATTGCAGACCTGCTTCGGAGCCCAGAAAGCCTCATAATGTGAGTCATGCCATTTCACACCCTTGTGCTGCGTGTGTGAGGTCAGCCTTGACCTATGAACCACGTTTTGAGCGGAGAGTCTCTGTGAAGTAACATAACCACGAAAAAACAGTTGCTGTCAGCCCCAGCTCCCAGAACAGCTCTGCATTTGCTTTGTGCCGCATCCAGAAAATCCTCCCCTGTGAAATTAAGGGGTTGCTCCTGGTTACGGTTTTCGTTCTGTCAGGTTATCCGGCAACCTCAGGATGCTCTTTGATGAGTGGATTTCAGAAGCTTGAAAGCAAAACCGAAGCACATTTTTGTTTCAAATATGAATTCCACCTCAGATCAACGGCTTGCATCCCTAAACTTAAAAATAAGAGCCCAAATGGACAATCCAGGGCCAGTTCTGTATGATCTGGTTTCACTGTGTTCCACCAGCGTACACGTTCATTTGGTTTTGCACAATTTTACACATGAGGAACCTGAGAGACTAGTTTGCTGTAACAAGAATATGGGCTGGGCAGATGACGCCTGATCCATACCTGCCAGTGACCGGCTGGGATGCACATGTGTCGTGTAGCATAGAGATTCAGAAAACTTTACATGAGCTGAGAAGCGGGGTCTAAATTTAGAAAAAGATTGCTGGTGACCTTCCGGTGACATATGTATAAGAAACTAAAATACCGCATTTCCGTGAACCTGAGACACACCATGAAAAACAAAACAAAATAAAAACACCGCCAATTAAATTAATTCTCTGGGGTGTGAATTATTATGCTCATTTCAATGGACATAGCAGAGTGCCTAGCACATAGTAGGCACTCAATAAATGTTTGTGGAGTGATGGAACTGAAACCAGGAGAGGTTAGATAATTTGTTCAAGGTCTTTGGTAAGACGTGGGTCCATAATCCAAGCTTAGGTCTCTGTGACTTTGGAATTCTAAAGGCAGGAGGTCTCCTGCTACTGGGCATGAGAGTGCCCTTCAATGGATTATCAGTCCCAAGACAGTAAGACATTGCATTGATAGCCAACTCATCTTCCTCTCTCTTTCTCTTTCTCCAGCATCTTGATTCAGTGGGTGAAGACTGGCCGTGGATACTTTACTATTCTGAGGGAGGAGAGTGCATTGAAAAAGAAGCAACAACAACTTCAGAAACTCAAAGAGGAAGAAAGAAATATATTCCAACCAGCCAAAAAGATGTCCGATATCCAGTGTGGGGATATTCTTTTGACGTAAGTAGACACCATCACCATGGCACCAGTGGTCTTGGGAAGGACCACTGTGATGGAACACTGCCTGGTTGGGTTGAGGGGTGGCAGCTGTCTCACATGGGGAGCCCCTTCTTAGGCTGGTGTCTAATGACTTCTTTTAGTCTGGCTCAACCTACCTCGCCAGCCTCACCTCCTGGTATTCAGTGAGGTATTTTCTATTACATATGTCTGCCTTCACATCCAGTGCCAAGAGCTACCCAAGAAATCTTGCTGGTCCCCAGAAGTGCCTCTTTCCCTCTCATTCCAAGGCTTGTCCCTACTTCTGGGCATTTTCCCGTGCTGTTCTCTGGGCCTTAAGTACTCTTCCCTACATCCTCTTCCAACTAAAGTTCTAATTATCATTAAAAGCCCAGCTTAAATGCTGCCCTCTCCTGATCCCTCCCAGATTTCAGCCCAGCCACCTCCAGAGCCCATTTGGACTCTGAGTTCCCTTAATGTGTTTGCACACTACTTTGTTTTTTCCGTTTTTGTTTTTTTTGCGGTACGCGGGCCTCTCAGTGTTGTGGCCCCTCCTGTTGCGGAGCACAGGCTCCGGACGCGCAGGCTTAGCGGCCATGGCTCACGGGCCCAGCCGCTCAGCGGCATGTGGGATCTTCCCGGACCGGGGCACGAAGCCGTGTTCCCTGCATCGGCAGGCGGACTCTCAACCACTGTGCCACCGGGAAGCCCCCGGACATAGTACTTTTTAAAGCTCCCCTAGATAATTCCCATGTGAAGCCAAGGTTGAGAGTTACTGTGCTAGGGCTGCTTTTAGGAACCCAAATTGACATGTCGCCGGCTAAAGGGGAAATGGAATCCACAGCAGGTAATGCACCATTTCCCAAATTCTTCACAACGTTAACCTAAAGAAATATGCATGTGTACGTCTTAAAAACAATGGTCCTACCAATGGAACCATACAATATGGGACCTTTTTGTGCCTGGCTTCTTTCACTTGCCATAGTTTGTTTGAGGTTCATCCCAAACAGGAAGCAGATTGGTGGTTGCCAGGGGTTGAGGAAGTGGGGGGATGGAGAATGACTGCTTAATGGGTGTGGGGTGTCCTTTGGGGCTGATTAAAATGTTTTGGAACTAGATTTAGGCAGTGGTTGTACAGCCATCAATTCAAATGCCATTGAATTGCACCCTTTAAAACAGTTAATTTTATGTTATGTAAATTTCAACTTAATGGAAAAAAAAAAAAAAAGAGGGAGTTCTGGTCTGTGAGGCCCTGGCGTGGGGGCTGAGGGGGCTGGACACTAGTGGTTGGAGGTCTTCTTAAAGCTCAAGGATCCCGGTGACTGGTGGGAACCCTGACTGTGAGAACATGAGGGGCTGGTATATTTCTAGTCTCCTTTCCCCTGAAAGCCTGGCCCTTGGGAATCCCAGCTTATTGTAAGAAGGGTCTTTTTGATTGCTCATTTGTGCAGACCATGGACTATGCTTTTTCCTTGCCCTGGGAAGCTGTTAGAAGGAAAGTTAACCTTTTCTAAATTGGCAAATGTCCTTAGGACCAAAGCAGCTCCCAGGCCGCCTTACCTCTCTGGTTTCCAGTCTCTCTTTAGTTTTGGCCGAGAGATTCCCACTTCGTTGTTGGCTCTTTGCCACTCTTTTTATTTTATTTTATTTTATTTATTTTTAAAATTTATTTATTTTTTGGCTGCACTGGTTCTTCGTTGCTGCGTGCAGGCTTTCTCTAGTGGTGAGCGGGAGCTACACTTCGTTGCGGTGCTCGGGCTTCTCATTGCTGTGGCTTCTCTTGTTGCAGAGCACGGGCTCTAGGCTCGCGGGCTCAGTAGTTCTAGAGCGCAGGCTCAGTAGTTGTGGCGCACGGGCTTAGCTGCTCTGCAGCATGTGGGATCTTCCCGGACCAGGGCTCGAACCCATGTCCCCTGCATTGGCAGGTGGATTCTTAACCACTGTGCCACCAGGGAAGTCCCTTTGCCACTCTTTCTAAAAAAATATTTTGTCCAGCATTTTTGGTTATTTTTACCCAGTGGGTTGGTCTAAGTAAGCTAGCTTACCATTTGTGCATTCATTTATTAACTCATTCATTCATTCTGAGACTAGAGAAAATATCTATGATTTACAATCCCCACCACATGCCTTCCAAGCAGTGAGCATCCCAAGGGGAAGCTTTCTTTGGTGAGCAAGTGTATTCAAGTGAATACGCAGGCAGACAGGAAGAACAGAGAGGCTTCCCTGACAGACAGAATGGAGACGCTCAGGAGACGGGCCGAGAGTGTGCGCGGAAGGGACCCTTCGGAGGAGGGAGGAGAGGAAAGGCAGCCAACAGTGGGAGAGAATGGAGATGTCTAATGAGGGTTTTTACGAGGTTTTGCCTCATAGTGTGACATGTAGATCCATTCCTCAGTTTCCCCAGAAGGTCTTCAGTAAAATACCCGTGACCCCTTAGTGCATTATGTCTTGGACCTTTATCCTGGCTTCCAAGTAAGTGTAGGGGTGAGAATGGGAGACGACCTTGACCCAGGCCCGTTCTCATTGTACAAGCAACCGTTTGTATTTTGAAGACCTGCTGCGTGCAGGCCTTCTGATGGCACGGAGATATGAAAAGGACTGAGGGACAGTCCCTACCGCATGCGGTGCCACAGCACAGTACCATGGGGGTGCCCCTCAAGTGCCCTGAAGTGTGCCTGTAAAGGAAAAACACTCCTCCCATGTGTTTCTCCTTTACTCTCACACCATGATCACACTCATACTTCTGACACCAGATGTGTGGGGTTTTCCCCCACACCAAGCAAATGTCTGCGACACCAGCAGGGCATCCTACCATCCTATTCAGCTCTGACACTTTCTACCTGGAGTTAGCATCAGATCCCACAGGTTAAGGGTTCAGTCCCACAAGACTGCCCCCATGTCAGATGCCAATCACGAGTCCCAGGTTGTCACTTGTACTTCTGACCAACCAGCTATAAATCAGGGTTCCCATGACCCCCTTCCTTGGGTTTGATAATTTTCTAGAATGGCTCACAGAACTCAGGGAAGCACTGACTTACATTTTCCATTTTATTACATAATAAAGGGTACAGATGAGCACCCCGATCAAGAAGTACACAGGGTAAGGTCTGGAAGGGACCCAGGCACAGGAGCTTCTTTTCCTGTGGAGTTGGGGAGTGCCATCCTCCCATTATTTGGATGTGATCACCAACTCGGAAGCTCTACAAACCCCGTACTTCAGGGATTTTTATGGAGGCTTCATCACATAGGCATGCTCTGTCATTAACTCAGTCTCCAGCCCCTCTCCCCTTCCCAGAGGACTGGGGGTGGGGCTGAGAGGTCCAAGCTTCTAATCATGGCTTGGTCTTTCTGGCGACCAGCCCCCATCCTAAAGCTATCCAGGAGCCCACGAAGAGTTGCCCCATTCCCCAGAAAAAGACGCCTCTATCACCCAGAAAATTCCAAGGGATTTGGGAGCTCTGTGTCAGGATCCAGGGTCTAAGACCAAGTATTAAAACAAGAGATGCCCCTGGTACTCTTTATCACGTAGGAAATTCCAAGGGTTTTAGGAGCTCTGTGCCAGAAAGTGAGGGCAGAGACCAATATATATATATATTTTTTCTATTACTTCACAATGTCCGCCCGCTCAACTTTAGGGGGTGAAAAGGAAATCTGGAAAGAATCCCCAGAAGTGTGACTTCTGAGCAGGGTCTTTAATGCTGAATGGGAGTTCAGTGGGTGACAAAAACAGAGGTATGGTTAGACCCATCTGTATCAGCCCGCCAGAAATCCTGCAAGCCCGCGTGTCAGGTTAGAAAGGCCAGGGCTGGAGAAGGAGGGTGTGGTGGTGTTATCTATTGCCAAAATCAGAAATATGATTTTCAGAATGAAAAAAAAAATAAAAGCAGGCAAGTCATGACCTGAGCCACCTCCATCCAGCCACTCGGTGGACCCCACTGAAGTGTCCTCACGGGACCTTGAAGAGGCGCAGGAGACAGAGAAAGCCACTCAGTGAGCCAAGGCGTTCTTACCCTCTCCGTGAAGGTCCCACGAGCTCAGTGCAAGTTTTGCCCTTAGTGTCATCTAAGAGCCCGATGACCCTCTCTGAGTCTGGTACCTCTAGGGGCACTAGTCACCTGGCAGCCTTTCTCTAGAATAAAGAGAAGGAACGAACTAGTGGCTCTTTTTGCAGGAACTTTTTACCCAGATTATTGGGCAAACAAACAGGCTCTGGGGAAGGTGGCATCTGTAAAGATCCTCCCGTGACTGTTTAAATAGTTTGGTTGTAACGTTGCCCTTGTTTGCATGGGGTTTTTAATCCATGGTCACAGAACACAATTCTTCCCTCTCTGATCCATGTTTCAGTGTGCAAGACATGGTATATTTAAAGTTTAATAAGCTTAAATATGCATGAGATCTTGCCTCACGTGGACATTGGTCTGGTTATGACTTATCCAGTGGATTCCATGAGCTGTGCAAGGCTGGTCATTAAAATAAAACTGGAGACTGTTATTGCAACATAGCCATCAAATGCAGGTGGGGGCGGCAGGGGTTATAAAATAGCACTGGGAGATTATCCCTACCAGTAGGGAGTAGTGGTTAAGAGCACAGGGCTGGGGTTCGAGCCCAGACTTCCCCCATACAACTGTTTAGCTTTGGGCAGGTCGCTGTGCTGCTCTGAGCCTCCTCTCTCTACACCCTTATGAATGGTACCAAACTCCCAAATTTGTTATGAGGATTAAAAGAAATAACACTTAGCACAGAGCCTGGCTTATGAGACGTGCTTAGTAATTGCTAGCTATTATTATGCAGTGAAATGAAGTTGATCTCTCTGGCCCTCAATTACTTAAAACCCTCAGATCTATGGCTAAAAATCTTAATTTCCAGGCAGGCTAGAAGACATCTCACATGTAAGAGCTATGTTCTATAAATATAATTCCAATCACAGAATTATCAAAAATACACGTGTTCATTTAGAACTGCTTTTTTAACACAGTATTTGATCCTGCACATTCTAAAAGCAAAAGGGATTTTTCCCCCCCTCTGGATCTAAGACCATAGGATAAGCTCTTTTAGACCAAAGTTTTAAGTCTGACAAACTATGTAGGGAAAAAAGAAAATCAAGCATGTCCCCAAAGATTCCGGCCTGCAAGCAGTCTTTCCCACTGTGTTCATTGACCTCATTTCTCAGCTGCAGGTTCGGCTGAAAAAGGAGAAAAAAACAACGGGTAGAACTTGCCTTATGTTTGCAGTTGAGACGAGACATAAAACAAGAGATTAAGGAGTGCAATAGCTGGGTTAATTTCCCCGTATTCTAGGCCGCTGGGTTGAGCTGGTGAGCCCGGGCAAGCCAGCATACTGGCTTGTGGTTTCCTCGGCTCTAGGGTTGAATAAAGAGCCTGTGGAAATGGAAAGCAGGGGACCTAGATTCTGCTCCTATGTTTTAGTTAGCTCTGTGACCCCAAGATTGTCCTCAAATTCCCAGGAGGAAGGTGACTTCCTAATGGCCGCCTCCACCTCTTCTGGCTCCTTTCCCCACGCTAAGCCAGAGCGAGCTTTCCAAATGTAAACCACTCCCAGTTTAAAATCCTCAGTGGCCACCATTCTTTATCGGATAAAGACAAAAGTCTGAGCAGGGGCTACAAGGCTCTGGATGGGCTAGCCCTTGGCTTCCCCTCCAGCCACACTGTCTCCCTCTCCCTCCTCCCCAGGGCCTCTCCCTCTGCCCTCTGCCTACTGAATTCCCATTCAACCTGCAGATCTCAGCTCAATATTTACTTCTGTTCCAGTTACTGTTGCTGTGAGCAACCACTCCAAAACCTATTAACTCAAGACAGCAAACATCTATTTCACTCACAAATCTGCCGTTTGAGTAGGGTTAAGTGGGGAGGGATTCAGCACTAGCTGGGGCAGCTCAAAGTGTCTGCTTCCGAGAGAGCTCGTGCACACGGTGGCACCTGGGGGCTGGCTGTCAGCTCTGAGCTCATCCAGGACTGAGAGCCCGCAGTCTTGGTCCTCCTCCCTATGAGTCTCTTCACAGGCTGCCAGCTTCCTCCCAGCATGGTGGTCCCTGGGTGCTAAGAGTGATCATCCCAAGACATAAGAAGGAAAAGCTGCCAGTTCCTGGAGCTGGGACCCAGAAATTGGCATCACACCACTTCTGACACATTCTATTGGCCCAGCCACTCAGAAAGCCAAGATTCCAGGGGAATGGGGGCTATAAAGCCACCTTCGCATTAGAAGAAACTTGAGGCCCATGTTTCTAAATTGACACAACTCCCTCCAGGAAGTATTCCCTGGCTCCATTTCAGCCAGATTCTCTGTTTGGGTCTGTCAAAGCACCACACACTCTCCAACTCAGCCTTATCACAGCTGTGTTTGTGTAAAGCCCGTCTCCGCCAGGAGGCTCTTAAGCTCCGGAGGGGAGGGGCTGGATCTGTCTCCATCACCGCACCTACAGCCCCCAGCGCAGAGATGTTCCATAGATATGGGGAGACGTGAATGAATCAGGGAACCCGTCAATGATTCAATCAGTATTAAAGTCCTCAGGCTGAGAAACTACAAGGCTTTAAAGGAGCACACTGGTAGCATAAATATGTAAGGCAAGCTGGGACTGAGATGCCAGGGGTTTTTGAGTCTCAGGCAACCCAAGAGGCACCACCTCGTGCAAAGTGGGCAGCGATCTTGACCTTGGGCCTCACCCAACTCTTACTCAGAGTGGCAAGAACTTTCGAGTCTTCAAGAACCAAAGCTTTTCCATCTTTATGTGACATCTCCCAATTTTAGAATATAGACAATCAATTCCATTACGCACACAGTAGGCTTATTAAAACATGTCTATGGGCTAGATTTGGTCATGGGCAAAAAATATATACCCTGTGACCCAGGCATGCCAAAAAGGAAAACAAACAAACAAACCCCGTCTTCTCTGACTGAAATGACTTACTCCATGATGGTGTTGAAAAGAAAAACTTGACTGTGGTATTAAATGTAACTTAATATTTTTCACTTTGAAACAGTCCTTTTTGGATAAATGTCCAGTGGTTTCAAAGATGAACCGCCTGTTTGGGCAGTTCTCCTCTCTAAGCATCCCTTTCCCCACCCCCCTGCCCACCCCTGCTTCCCCCAGATGGTTTTGGCTTCAGAGGAAGCTTCTGTATTCTCTGTGGGGCAGGGGATGGGCTTCCGGAGAGGTACGCCTGGTCGTGGCTGATCTTTGGGGGCACACTTGTGCCGACGTCTGAAGCTCGAGATCCCCACGTCTCATGGCTGGTTCATCCAGCCAGTGAGTCAGCAGTCTGGAGAGTTGGGAGAAGCCCCTTTAAGGAAAGGACCGCAAATAAAAGCCGCTGACTCCAGGCAGTTCCTGCCCTGTGTGCACCTGCCATTTCCACTTCCCACCATCCCTGTCGCTAGGACCCTGGGTGCCGGCCACCTTCCTCTCTCAAGCTGAAATTATTGTGATACTTCTCACTGGTCTCCTTGCCCTCCACTCCCACCATCGGCCATTCTCAAAACAGCAGCCAGAGGGATCCTTGGTCACATCATGTCCTCTTTCAGCTCAGAGTCCTTTACTTTCGTTGAGGGAAAAGGCCAGAGTCCTCGCACTGGTCTGCAAGGCCCCCATTCTCTCTCCATCCTTCCCTCCCTCTCTCTCTGTTGCTCACTCCAGCCACACGTGCCTCCTTGCCATCTCTAAAACACAGTCCCACCTCAGGACATTTGCACCTGTTGCTCCCTCTCTCCAGAATGCTCTGCCCCCAGACATCTGAATGGCTCACTCCCTTCCACTGCAGATTTTTATCAAATGTCACCTTCTCGGTGATAACTTCCCCAATCACTCTATTGAAAATTGCAAGCCCCAGCTCTCCCAGCCCTTCTGAGCCCCCTTCTCTTTTTTCTCCCCATAGCACGTATCACTGTCTAGTGGGGGTGGGGATGGGAACGGGTCAGCAAACTCCAGCTCATGGGCCAAATCCAGCCCCCAGGCTGGTTTTGTAAACAGAGTTTTATTGGAACCCTCCCATTTGCTTATTGCTTACATTCTGTCAATGGCTTTCCTGCTACTAAGTAGTCATGACATAGACCGAATGTCCCACAACATCATAAATATTTGTCTAGCCAGGTAACAAAACATATCCGACCGCTAGTCTACTATACCAGTATACCACACAGCTGCCCGATTTATCTTATTTGCTCCTTCATGGGAATATGTGTTCCATGAGAGAAGGGGGTCTAATATGCTCTGCTTACTGGCTGCATCTAGAACCTTCATCTCTCCAGCGGGAATTACTGCCTGGCCCATAGCAGGTGCCCAGTGATATTTGCCAGACAACCCCTGGCGAGAGAAGAGGGCATTTAAAACAGCTCCTGCCCGTTCACTCTGCTGCTTTCATTCTGCTTCACCTTCAGCACAAACGGAGACAAGAAGATGAAGAAGGTGGGGATGGGAGTCCTCCTGCGTCCGTTCACCCCCGTGCACAGCTGCATCATTGCGCCCTCGCTGCCTGAGGCTCACGTGTAAGTAGTCCCACCTCTGGCTCATCTGCTTATCATGCGAAGCCAAGGTCAAATGACTCAAACAGCTGGGAGCTGTCGAGCTGTTCCTTTGTCCTCTTGAAAAGGGACAGGGAGCCTGGGGCCAGCAGTGTTATGTGGTGTATAAAAATAACAGAAGGCAAACACGGGGGCTTAGAGCTAAGTGGCAATCCAGCTGGGACTGAGTCATTCCATCCCTTACCACACCAGACGCACTAATGTCAAATAGTTTGCAAAGCCTGATAAAATCTGTCTGCAGCATGTGCCTAGCAGATGTCTCACCCAGGGCTCCGGGGACATGTTTTCCCCAAGACTCAAGGAGCTATTTCCCAGAGAAGCCCCTGCCGCCTTCTGAGCCGACCCCAGGCACAAACTCTTCATTGCGTGATGTGACAGGGGCTAACCAACCCTCCAAAGAATACTTGGGCTTTCCAAAACCTTGACACCTTGTTCCCCTCCTATCTGTTCCAGAGAATTCTAAGCCCAGCTTTTTCTTTTTCACTAGTTAGCACTTTTCAACTGGGAGATTTCAGGCACAGAGATAGAAATTGACTGTAAGGCAGGATTGCTCAACCTCGGCACTATTGACGTTTGGGGACAAATACTTCTTTGTTGGAAATGACTGTCCTGTGCACCATAGGATGTGTAGCACTATTCATGGCCGCCACCCCCTAGTGCCAGTAGCACCCCCCTCCCCAGCTGTGACAACCAAAATGTCTCCAGAGATTGCCAAATGCCCCCTGGGGGCAAAATCACACCCATACCCCCAGCCCTCCCACATAAGAACTGCTCTAGGCCAATGAACATGGTGCACTGGATTCTGTCTGCTCATTTGTCAAATATTTATTAGGCCCCTACCGTGTGCACAATAAAAATAGCACTACTGACTGCTCTGTGGGCACTGTCTCAGTCCTCTCAGCAGCCCTTTTGCATAGGTGTATTATTATCCCATCCCTGCAGATGAGAGAGCAGAAGCTCAGAGAGGTGTACTAGCCTGCCCAAGGTCACAGAGCTCAGTGTGTTGCTGCACTGGGGTTTTAAGCCAAGTGTGTCTGACTGCAGAGCCTGACGTCTCACCACCACACACGACACAGAAGGTATATCCCAAGGCCTTACCTTTGAGGAGCTAGTGATATATTTGGACAGCCAAGTCTCATGTACTTGAAGAGTAAAATAATGCAAGAGTGAAACTGTAAGACAAGATGGCAGATCCTTAATAAGAGCACTTAGTTCGTGGGTGGAAGATGGCACCGTCACCAACACCATGGGCGTCATCGTCACCGTCATCATCCCTACCACCACCACCACCACCATGTATTTGGACACATTCCTATCCCTTACTAATATTTCAGCTTTTGCTGAGCCCCACTCCATACTTTCCTCCTATCTCCCTTTGAGGAATATTAGGACTGGCTTCTTCATAGACTTATTTGTTCAGGGACATTCCAACTGGCAGCCTCAGCTTGATGTTCTTAAAACATCTCCTTGCAAAAGTAGTCTCTGCAATTTCTCATAACGTCCCATGGAAACACTTGGCGCTTTTGCCTTTCTTTTCCATGGACAAGCCCTCTGAAAACAAATGGTGTAAATCAGTGGTTCTTAGGCTTTCACTTGCATTTGGATCATCTGGGGCTCTGGGCTTGGGTGCGGGGATAGCAAAATAAGGAGATGCCTGGGATAATGCGTATTCCTAGGCCCCGCCCCCATTTCCTTTGGTCTGAGCAAACTGAGGTTTAAATCAACTGTGGAAGTGACTGGAGAGTTTCTTGCTCATCCTCCTTCAGTGCCAGATGGGGAAACTGAAGCCCAGAGAGAAGGCAGAACCTGCCAAAATGCTCACAACAGGAATTCTGATCTCCTGACTCTTAAGTCAGTCCTTTGTATCAGGTTTGTTCGTTGATGGTGATGGTGATGGTGGTGATTATCACAGTGGTGGTTGTTACTATTCGTTATGCCCTAGACCAGGGATCAGCAACCTTTTTCTTAAAGGGACAGACAGTAGATACTTTAGGCTTTGCAAACCAGATGGTATCTCTCGCAACTACAGTCATCCCTAGGTATCTGCGGGGAATTGGTTCCAGGACCTTCTGCCGATACCAGAATCTGTGATGCTCGAGTCTTTTATGAGTATAAAATGGGGTAGTGCTGTCGGCCCTCTGTATCCACAGATGCAGAGGGTCAACTGTACTTTACCTTGTTGTCGCAGCAGGAAAGCTACAATGAGTGGATGTGCCCGTGCTCCAGTAAAGTTTTATTTGCAAACAAAGGCACACACTCCTTCTCTAGATTGAAGGCTGCCCCTTCTTCTCCTTGGCTGTTCAAAGGCTCTGGCTGCATCTGATGATTTTATCGGCATCTATTGCTGTATGACAGGCCACCTCGAGGTGGAGTGGCTTAAAACAGCAACCATTTATTCTTGTTCAAAGTCTGCAGGTCAGCTGGGTGGCTCTGCTCGTCCGCATCAGTTCAGCTGGTCCTGGCTGGGCTTGCATATGTGTGTGGTAAGCTGGAGGCTGGCCCACCTAGGGTGGCCTCATGCCCAGGTCTGTTGGTTGGTTGGTTGTTGGCTAGGGTGACGGGAGTGACTGTCACTGTCTTCACACAGCAGGCTAGCCGAGCTTGTTCCGTGGCTGTCAGGAAGGGTTCCAAGGACAAGAGCCTGAGCACTCAAAGCCTCTTAAGGCTTAGGCTCAGAATGGACCAAGGACCTTTCCACCCCATTCTGTTGGCCAAAAAAGACATCAGGCCTGCCCAGATACAAGCGATGGGGAAAAGAAAGATTCCACCGCCTGGTGAGAGAGATGCAGAATCACCTTGTGAAGTGCATGGATGCAGGGAGGAGGGGAGAATCCGAGCAGTTTTATCATCATTCTACCAAGAGGCATCAGGGCAGAGCCCGCCTGGTCAGTTCTCAAATTCTCAGTCTTCGCGTCAGCCGAGGTGGATCCGAGCCTGGTCAGTCCCTTCAATCCCAGTGTGACTGTATGGGGATCAATTCAATCATGCCGAGGAAGACTGGACCTTTATCTTTTTAAAAAAAGAGGTGGGGCACAGTCTGTAGGAAGGAGGACAGCCCCTCCTTTCCTCTGGGAGATGACTGGCCTGTCCTTACAGCCCTTCCTGAGCGACTGTGCAACAAAACAGTGCCTGCAGCCACTGTCTGGGTTTGCCCTTGGCAGTCAGCATGGGGGGCTTTGTAGCATTTTCTGATTTCTCTTAGTAAAAGACGTTGTTTTTTTCTCAGGGATGTTGACTCCCACTCGTATTCTGGTTGGTACAGCAGTTTCAACAGAGAGGGCTATTCAGATGCACTGACCGCTAGGTGCTCCCCCAGAGTTCTGAGCACAGGGATTTTAGAAGCAGGCTTTGTGCACCCTGGTCAGCGTTTTCATCTATTATGCCCCACATTTAAGAAAATAAATGCTTTCTCTTTTAATTTGACAAAATCCAAGGTATTGTGCTTTGACCTGACATACAATCATTATGAGAAAGGAGCGATTTCTATCAAGCATGTTTCTGGGGACCCTTTCTTCTCCCTTTCTCCCTCCCTCCCTCCCTCCCTCCCCCCCTCCCTCCCTCCCTCCCTCCCTCCCTCCCTCCCTTCCTCTCTCTCTCTGTCTCTCTCTTTTAGTTTGCTTCACTGCATGTTAGATTAGAGATCATCGGGTTTGAGCCACTGTATTTTTTCATTAAGACCTTATTTTTTCAGAGCAGATTTAGGTTCAGATCAAAATTGAGGGGAAGGTGCAAAGATTTCCCATTTCCCTCCTGCCTCCCCCATTATCGACATCCCCCACTGGAGTGGGACGTTAGTTACAACTGATGAAGCTACACTGACACATCATAGTCACCTGCAGTCCCTAGTTTACATTAGGGTCCTCTCTTGGTTTTGTATATTCTATAGGTTTGGATGCAAGTATAACGACGTGTATCCATCCACTCACGTATTATACAGAGTATTTTCACTGCCCTAAAAATCCTCTGTGCTCTGCCTATTCATCCCTCTCCCCCTCCCGCCCCCCCCTCCCCGGCAACCACTGATCCTTTTACTGTTTCCATAGTTTTGTCCTTTCAGAACATCATATTGTTGGAATCATACAGTAATGTAGCCTTTTCAGATTGGCTTCTTTCACTTAGTAATATGCTTTTGAGGTTTCTCCTTGGCTTTTCATGGCTTAGTAGCCCGTTTCTTTTTCACGCTGAATAACTGTCCATTGTCTGGATATACCATAGTTTATTTATCCATACGTCTCTAAAGGTTCCTTCCAATTTTTGGCAATTATGAACAAAGCTGCTATAAACATCTGTGTGCAGGTGTTGTAAGGCACTTTCTATAAGCAGAGAAAAAGGTCCAGACCCATTGGATGAAACCCTATTCTGCTGAAAAGGGCGTGAGGGCTCTACCCTATAATAAGAGACATCAACACTGTATTAAAGCACAGATTCGGGAACCGGACTGTCTGGGCTAAGATTCCAGCTCTGCTGTTTGCTGCCTTTTTTGACCTTGGATACGTTATATGACCTCAGTTTCTTCATCTGAAAAATGGGAATACGAATAATACCTTCCTCACAGTGTTGTTATAAGAATGACTTTAATTAATGGATGTAGAATACTTAAAACAGTGTCTGGCGCAGAGTCAGCGCTCTATGAGAAGGGTTTACTATTATTGTTATTTTGCTGTTGTTGCTACTATTCTTTGTTATCTCTGTGGTTGTGCATATGAGAATTGTGCCCAAATTATCAGCTCTGGAAAGTGTCAGATCCCAACCAATTTATTCCCTCCATCTCCCATTCAGTAACCAGAAATGTACTGAGCCTACTCTGTGCATACCTGTGATGGACAAGACTCTGTAGCTCACAGGCTTGTGGGCTGCAGAGACAAGTAAACAGGTAGTTACAAGACAGCAGGGACACAAAATGTAGGGACAGAGGGACACATTGTAGGGTGGGGGGTGCTTTAGAACCTCCTCGGAGAGAGGATGCTCGAAAAATCAAGGAAGGCTTCCTGCTGGAGGCGACATCCGAGCTGAGACCCAGTCACGGAGAGGCAGAGGAGGAGTAAAGGGAATATGTATCAGGAGCAGAGGACAGTGCCGAGCACCTCACCTCACTTTCACTAGAACGATTACTGCCATTATACAGATGAGAAAACTGGGGCTCAGGGAAATGAAGTAATTTGGCCAAGACCACATAGCTGATAAATGGCAAAGCTAGGATTTTAACCCAGTGCAGAGCGTATGTACAGTGAGCTTGCGCTACAGAGCAGAATTTCACCAGGCTGCAGGTGGCGGCACAGGGGTGAGAGAGGAGACTCGAGGCTGCGGAGATGGATGGGAGTCTCCCATGTGATGGGGTGTTGGTTTGCCAGGGCTGCCATAACAAAACCCCACAGACTGGGTGGTCTAAACAACAGAAATGTATTCTCTCACAGTTCTGGAGGCTGGAAGTTCAAGATCAAGGGGCCCACATGCTGGTTTCTACTGAGTCGTTTCTCCTTGGCTTTTGGAGGGCTGCTTTCTCGCTCTGCCCTCACACGCTTTTTTCTCTGTGAACGTGTACCCCAGTGTCTCTCCGTGGGTCACGGCTCCTCTTCTTCTAAAGACACCAGTCAGATTGGGTTAGGACCCACCCTCTTGGCCTTATTTTAACCTCATCACCTCTTTAAAGGTCCCCAGTACAGTCACATTCTAAGGTACTAGAGATTAGGACTTCAGCATATGAACTTTGGGACATAACTCAATCCATAGTAGATGGTTTAGGGAGTCTGAAGATCTTAAGCAAGGGAGGGAGAGGGCCACGTTTGTGCCCGTTCCTGTCACCTGCAGAAATGAGTCTGATGCTCACATGCCTCTCGGCCCCCTGCGACGAAGCACATCCCACCTCACCAGTTAACTCCCTTACCCATCCCTCCCCACCCGCAATGGACACAACGGAACGCCCAGGCCTGCAGGGGCTCTGAGTCGTGAACAGAAGAGGGGGCGTCTCCTTGGGCTTTTCACAACTGCCTGGGGTCACAGTGAGGGTACAGGGAGGTGTCTGCACAGGGCTGGGCACGTGGTACAGCCACTGCTACTGTTGGTACCCAGAGCTGCCGAAATGCACTTACCTGTAGGGACCAAGATGGTGTAAAGGGAGAAGACACAGAACTGGGAAGGCTGTGGGCTTGCGGGTCCTTTAAATTAGAAGTGAGGGATGCGTGGGTGCTTATTATTAGAAAATAATTTGTGGATGGAAAAAAAAAGGAAGGAAGGCGCTCTAGATGAAGAAAGAGAGACAGAGCTGCTGACTAGTTTTCCTAAGACCGGGTGGACACGGCTGCCCCAGAGCATGGGGGCGGAGGAGTGGGGTGCATGGGGGTAGCTCCCCCTGCAAGCAGAGTGACATGGGTGCCTCTCAAGGGGCTCTCCGGGATACGCCTGGCCCCGCTCCACACTTGAGCCCCAGGGCTCGGACTCCACCTTCTGAGCTGGGGCCTTCCTGGAAGCTGGAGGGTGGATTTCTGCCTGCCCCTCTGAGCACAGGCCCAGGAGCCCTGGGGAGTATCGATCAATACAGTAGCAGTTTCAGAGAAGAGCAATTACACAGGTTGGTAATGGAGGCATCTGGCCCGTTAGTGTAAGAGGAGAAATCATGCAGGGAGGGGCTGGCCAGTTAGGACTCCCCCTCACTTCCAGGAAGAATGCAGGCAGCAGGTTAACCCTCTCCTGACCTTGCTCTCGGGGTGGCCACTCATTTGGCCCCATCAGCACCTCAAACAATAAGAGCTCAGGTCCACAAAAGCACCGTCTCTGGGATTAAACAGATGCGGGTTCAAATCCTCACTAATCCTAGCGTGACCTCAGGCAACTCTACCTCTCCCAGTCCCTTGTCTGCAGAGGACGGAATAAAGTCACCCTTCTTATAGGGTTGTCGAGAGCATTGAATGGGATATTCAGGCCCCATCTCTGCCACCAACAAGCTGTGTGACCTGGAGCAAACCGATGGCCCCTCTCTGAGGCTCAGTTTCCTCTTCTCTAAAATTCAGATAATGATTCCTATCTGGCAGGGTTTGGGGAGAAATAAATAACACGTGTCAGGTGTCCTACCCAATGCCTGTCTCATCGTAATACAGAATGCCCCCCAAATCAGAAAATACAGGTTAGACCTATTTTTAAATGGTGTTTTAGTTACATTTTCAAATCTTGTGTTCAATGTGGTTTTCCTCAACATCCAGCTACATTTGGGGCAAAGGATTTATAAATTTAAAGCAGTGGGTCTAGTTGTTAATTGGGGTGGAGAGAAAGTACAATAAATACACTAGTTTCCTTGTGTTTCCGGACGTTTTGGACCCTGCTAGTGTACTTATTGTATTTTTATCAGATGAAGAATCGGATGCCTGTAGGATGTTCATTTCCTTCAGTCCCCTCGTTTGCCTGAATCCAGTCCTCTACCTGTGGGACACCCTCCCTTGTCCCTTCCCACTGTGCATGCAAATCCCCAGTAACTGGCATAGGGTCACCTTGTGTCAGATCACAGCTCTGCCCCCTACTGGCCCAGTGACATGCACAAGTTCCTCACCTCTTCTGAGCCTCAGTTCCCTCATCTGTAAAATGGGGCCAAGAAATAGCTCAGGAGCCCATTGGGAAAGTTTAATGCTGGTGCGTGGGAAATGCTGCCACACTCCTGGAGCCAGGAGACAGCTCTCCGGCCGGGAGCCAGCACCACTCCTGTCTCTGTCGCCAATGTTGTGAAGAATGTTGTTCTAACAGGAGCCCCCTGGGCTTCCTCCCTCTGTCTTTGCAGCGAGCCCATCTTCCGCCAGCTCTGTGCCCTCCACTGGCTCCTGGAGGCCCTGACTATCGACCACACCCACCACACCATGAAGCCCGTGATCACCTGCTGGAATCCGAAGTAGGTCTCAGCCCTTCCACCTGCCGTGTAACTAGCAAGAGACTGGGCCGTGGGGGAGGAAGCTCCCATGGGTTCCCTTCCTCCTACTGCTGTTTCTTGGTGGGTGGGTTGCTTTAGGAGTGCTACTATGTGGGGTCCAAACGGGGGGTGAGCTGGAGCCAGGTCATACGGGTCATGTGGTGGTGACAGCCCCCCTGTGCATCCCTCCCAGCATCTCTCCCCAACTCCACATCGGAAGCTTGAAATGATTCAGCCACGGTGGGAGTATTTACATCACAGAAACTGGCCAGCTAGCCCAGCCCCGCCCTGGAAGCACAGCTAGATTTCTCTCCAGCTCCCTTCTTGGACCATGTCTCCCCAGCGCTATTCCTCATTTGTTCCCCTTCTTTTTCCTCCTCTCCCGCTCCTTTTACTCCTCTCATTCTCCGTGTTTTTGTGTTTTCCCTTTCAAAGTTTTCTTGTGTGTCTTTTTTTTTTTTATTAACATCTGTATTGGAGTATAATTGCTTTACAGTGTTGTGTTAGTTTCTGCTGTATAACAAAGTGAATCAGCTATATGCATACGTATATACCCATATCCCCTCCCTCTTGCGTCTCCCTCCCACCCTCCCTATCCCACCCCTCTAGGTGCTCACAAAGCACCAAGCTGATCTCCCTGTGCTATGCAGCTGCTTTCCACTAGCTAGCTATTTTACATTTGGCAGTGTATATATGTCCATGCCACTCTCTCGCTTCATCCCAGTTTACCATTCCCCCTCCCCATGTCCTCAAGTCCATTCTCTACATCTGTGTCTTTATTCCTGTCCTGCCCCTAGGTTCATAAGAACCTTTTTTTTTTTTTTAGATTCCATATATATGTGTTAGAATACGGTATTTGTTTTTCTCTTTCTGACTTACTTCACTCTGTATGACAGACTCTAGCTCCATCCACCTCACTACAGATAACTCAATTTTGTTTCTTTTTATGGCTGAGTAATATTCCATTGTATACATGTACCACATCTTCTTCATCCATTCATCTGTTGATGGACACTTAGGTTGCTTCCTTGTCCTGGCTATTGTAAATAGTGCTGCAGTGAACATTGTGGTACATGACTCTTTTTGAATTATGGTTTTCTCGGGGTATATGCCCAGTAGTGGGATTGCTGGGTCCCATGGTTGTTCTATTCGTAGTTTTTTACGGAACCTCCATACTGTTCTCCATAGTGGCTGTATCAATTTGCATTCCCACCAACAGTGCAAGAGGGTTCCCTTTTCTCCACACCCTCTCCAGCATTTATCGTTTGTAGATTTTTTGATGATGGCCATTCTGACTGGTGTGAGGTGATACCTCATTGTAGTTTTGACTTGCATTTCTCTAACGATCTTGCTATGATTTATGTCAAAGAGTGTTCTGCCTATGTTTTCCTCTAAGAGTTTTATAGTGTGTGGCCTTACATTTAGGTCTTTAAACCATTTTGAGTTTATTTTTGTGTATGGTGTTAGGGAGTGTTCTAATTTCATTCTTTTACATGTAGCTGTCCAGTTTTCCCAGCACCACTTATTGAAGAGGCTGTCTTTTCTCCATTGTATATTCTTGCCTCGTTTATCAAAGATAAGGTGGCCATATGTGTGTGGGTTTATCTCTGGGCTTTCTATCCTGTTCCATTGATCTACATTTCCATTTTTGTGCCAGTACCATACTGTCTTGATGACTGTAGCTTTGTAGTATAGTCTGAAGTCCGGGAGCCTGATTCCTCCAGCTCCATTTCTCCTTCTCAAGATTGCTTTGGCTATTCGGGGTCTTTTGTGTCTCCATACAAATCGTGAAATTTTTTCTTCTAGTTCTGTGAAAAATGGCATTGGTAGTTTGATAGGGATTGCACTGAATCTGTAGATTGCTTTGGGTAGTATAGTCATTTTCACAATGTTGATTCTTCCAATCCAAGAACATAATATATCTCTCCATCTGTTTGTATCATCTTTAATTTCTTTCATCAGTGTGTTATAGTTTTCTGTATACAGGTCTTTTGTCTCCTTAGGTAGGTTTATTCCTAGGTATTTTATTCTTTTTGTTGCAGTGGTAAATGAGAATGTTTCCTTAATTTCTCTTTCAGATTTTTCATCATTAGTGTACAGGAATGCAAGAGATTTCTGTTTGTTAATTTTGTATCCTGCTACTCTACCAAATTCATTGATTAGCTCTAGTAGTGTCCTGGTAGCATCTTTAGGATTCTCTCTGTATAGTATCCTGTCATCTGCAAACAGTGACAGTTTTACTTCTTTTTTTTCCGATTTGGATTCTTTTTATTTCTTTTTCTTCTCTGATTGCTGTGGCTAAAACTTCCAAAACTATGTTGAATAATAGTGGTGAGAGTGGGCAACCTTGTCTTGTTCCTGATCTTAGAGGAAATGGTTTCAGTTTTTCACCATTGAGAACGATGTTGGCTGTGGGTTTGTCATATGTGGCCTTTATTATGTTGAGGTAAGTTCCCTCTATGCGTACTTTCTGGAGAGTTTTTATCATAAATGGGTGTTGAATTTTGTCAAAAGGTTTTTCTGCATCTATTGAGATTGTCATATGGTTTTTCTCCTGCAATTTGTTAATATGGTGTATCGCATTGATTGATTGTCATATATTGAAGAATCCTTGCATTCCTGGGATAAACCCCACTTGATCATGGTGTATGATTCTTTTCATGTGCTGTTGGATTCTGTTTGCTAGTATTTTGTTGAGGATTTTTACATCTATGTTCATCAGAGATATTGGCCTGTAGTTTTCTTTCTTTGTGACATCCTTGTCTGGTTTTGGTATCAGAGTGATGGTGGCCTCGTAGAATGAGTTTGGGAGTGTACCTCCCTCTGCTATATTTTGGAAGAGTTTGAGAAGGACAGGTGTTAGGTCTTCTCTAAATGTTTGATAGAATTCGCCTGTGAAGCCATCTGGTCTTGGGCTTTTGTTTGTTGGAAGATTTTTAATCACAGTTTCAATTTCAGTGCTTGTGATTGGTCTGTTTATATTTTCTGTTTCTTCCTGGTTCAGTCTCGGAATGTTGTACTTTTCTAAGGATTTGTCCATTTCTTCCAGGTTGTCCATTTTATTGGCATATAGTTGCTTGTAGTAATCTCTCACGATCCTTTGTATTTCTGCAGTGTCTGTTGTTACGTCTCCTTTTTCATTTCTAATTCTATTGATTTGAGTCTTCCCTCTTTTTTTCTTGGTGAGTCTGGCTAATAGTTTATCAATTTTGTTTATCTTCTCAAAGAACCAGCTCTTGGTTTTAGTGATCTTTGCTGTTGTTTCCTTCATTTCTTTTTCATTTATTTCTGATCTGATCTTTATGATTTCTTTCCTTCTACTAACTTTGGGTTTTTTTGGTTCTTCTTTCTCTAACTGCTTTAGGTATAAGGTTAGGTTTTTTATTTGAGATGTTTCTTGTTTCTTGAGGTAGGATTGTATTGCTATAAACTTCCCTCTTAGAACTGCTTTTGCTGCGTCCCATAGGTTTTGGGTTGTCGTGTTTCATTGTCATTTGTTGCTAGGTATTTTTTGATTCCCTCTTTGATTTCTTCAGTGATCTCTGTGTTTGTTTAGCCTCCATGTGTTTGTATTTTTTACAGTTTTTTTTCTTTTAATTGATATCTAGTCTCACAGTGTTGTGGTCGGAAAAGATACTTGATACAATTTCAATTTTCTTAAATTTACCAAGGCTTAATTTGTGACCCAAGTTATAGTCTATCCTGGAGAATGTTCCATGAGCACTTGAGAAGAAAGTATATTCTGTTGTTTTTGGATGGACTGTCCTGTGAATATCAATTAAATCCATCTTGCTTAATGTGTCATTCAAAGCTTGTGTTTCCTTATTTATTTTCATTTTGGATGATCTGTCCATTGGTGAAGGTGGGGTGTTAAAGTCCCCTACTATGATTGTGTTACTGTCGATTTCCCCTTTTATGGCTGTTAGCATTTGCCTTATGTATTGAGGTGCTCCTCTGTTTTGTGCATAAATATTTACAATTTTTATATCTTCTTCTTGGATCAATCCCTTGATCATTATGTAGTGTCCTTCTTTGTCTCTTGTAACAGTCTTTATTTTAAAGTCTATTTTGTCTGATATGAGAATTGCTACTCCAGCTTTCTTTTGATTTCCATTTGCATGGAATATCTTTTTCCATCCCCTCACTTTCAGTCTGCATGTGTCGCTAGGTCTGAAGTGGGTTTCTTGTAGACAGCATATATACAGGTCTTGTTTTTGTATTCATTCAGCCAGTCTATGCCTTTTGGTGGGAGCATTTAATCCATTTACATTTAAGGTAATTATCAATATGTATGTTACTATTACCATTTTCTTAATTGTTTTAGATTTGTTTTTGTAGGTCTTTGCCTTTTCTTGTGTTTCCTGCCTAGAGAAGTTCCTTTAGCATCTGTTGTAAAGCTGGTTTGGTGGTGCTGAATTCTCTTAACTTTTGCTTATCTATAAAAGTTTTAATTTCTCCATCAAATCTGAATGAGATCCTTGCTGGGTAGCGTAATCTTCGTTGTAGGTTTTTCCCTTTCATCACTTTAAATATGTCCTGTCACTCCCTTCTGACTTGCAGAGTTTCTGCTGAAAGATCAGCTGTTAACTTTATGGGGATTCCCTCGTACGTTATTTGTTGCTTTTCCCTTGCTGCTTTTAATATTTTTTGTTTGTATTTAATTTTTGATAGTTTGATTAATATGTGTCTCGGTGTGTTTCTCTTTGGGTTTATCCTGTATGGTAGTCTCTGTGCTTTCTGGACTTGATTGACTATTTCCTTTCCCATATTAGGGAAGTTTTTGACTATAATCTCTTCAAATATTTTCTCAGACCCTTTCTTCTTCTTCTGGGACCCTTATAATTTCAAATGCTCGTGCGTTTAATGTTGCCCCAGAGGTCTCTGAGACTGTCCTCAATTCTTTTCATTCTTTTTTCTTTATTCTGCTCCCTGGCAGTTATTTCCACCATTTTATCTTCCAGCTCACTTATCCGTTCTTCTGC